TGTGTGTGTGTGTGTGTGTGTGTGTGTGTGTGTGTGTGTGTGTGTGTGTGTGTGTGTGTGTGAGGGGAGGTACAGTCTGGCTGCACTGTGACATCATGTCTCACTATTGTCAGATGTTTTACAAACCAGTCAGTCGATTCATGGAGAAAATAATCAGCAGGTTAATCCCTAATGAAAATAATCAGTAGTTGCATTTGGATACAAAATAGTCCAGGAGAGCTCCACCTCAACCAGCCACAGCAGTCAAGTCCTGTTTTTACATCAGTGCGTGAGTGAGAGGCTATTAATGTAATGATATAATAGTGTAGCATTACCATACCATTGCAACCCTGACTGCAACAGTGTAGTAAAGTGACATAAAACATTTTGGATTTTATATGTTAGGGCCATGGTGGGAACTGTGTCTCTAGCACCACAAGCCATTTATCTGGCAGCTTGATTATGTTGTATTAGTCCTAACAATCTGTCTGTATTCTTCAGTAATTATGATTTGGAGTGGTCAATAAATGTTTCCAGTGGCCATCCAATAATCTCATCTTGTCTTGTCTCCTCTCCTCCTGTCGCTTTGCCTCATCTCGCAAATCGCCTCTTTATATGCACAGCAGAATAATTCACAAACACGGCTGCATCTGTGACCTTTTGATCTTGCTTCCCTCTTGAAGGCCCCTATGAGACAACAGGAGCCTGAGCACACTGTCACTTTTGCATGTTGTCAATTAATCTGGGTTGTAGTTTTGTACTACACTGAAATTTTTATTTATTTTTTTTTTTTTTAACACAAATAGAATAACCAAAGTGCCTGTGTGGACTCACCAAATACTATGGTGAGTCATATCAGTGTAGTGCATACAGAACAAGTTATTATGTAATTACAGTACATATCACAGTGAAATCACAGGATAACTTACCACTAAGATTCTAATCTCTACGATCAGTGGAGACCATCAAACAGTCAGCGGGTCTGTGGTCACAACACCACAACTGACTGCCCGCTAAGCTGCATTGCGGACTGAAAGAGCCACCCACCAGTTTTACACAAACTTGAACCATACCATATGAGCTACAGTATGTAGCAAAGGGACCAGTTAAATAATGCTATGTTCATATAATGCAAGTGAGTCAAGTCAGTTAACTATTTTAACAGTATATTAATATAGTCAACTACGTATTATTTAATACAGCTGCACTGCTATATTCTAAAATGCCAATTATGAACCATAGATTAGTTAAGTTTAAATCTTGGTTGACCGTCTCCTCTGCTCCCTCCCTCCTCCAGTCTGAGTCCAGGATGTTTGATGGTGTTGAGAAGGATTGCCCCTCCCCCACAGAGAAGCTGGCCCGAAAGGAGTCTCTCAAGGTAAGCATCACTTCCTCGTGTAAAACAGCTGTGACAAATGCGGAGAGAAAAAAATGCACATGGGTTCATCATAAAGTGCCATAATTGAACTCCTCAGTAGCTCTGTCAGCCTAAGCTTAGTGGGCCAAATTGTTTTAACACTATGAATTATGTTTCAAATGAATCATGTTAATATAACCAAAGGCAACCGTGTGTCGGCTTGAATGCTTGCGTTTGTTTGACTCTGCTTCCACCTAGTGTTGGCACTTTGAGCTCAGCCCTCTGTCCAGTAAGACTGATGACTCATTCATGTTTTATTTTCCCCCATTTCACAGGTTCAAAAGCAGAATTACAGGCAGGAGAAGAAACGGGCAACTAGAGAACTGTTCAGTGCACTGAAGGACCCTAGTGTTGTCATCATGTCCAGCTGGCTGAAGGTGCAGGGATGTTGTCTCAACAGTGTTACACAGAGCTGTTACCTTGACACTCAGAATAATCTCTGCTGTCACACAACCTGTTTGGACTTTTTATCATTTGGTTTTCATCCTTGCTGTAATTTGCACATCATCTGTTACAAATCCTTGTGGAACCCTGAAGTAATTGTGCAGTTTAGAATGTATTCATGTTTATACTTGGTTTAAAAAATAAAATGTAGGCTTTTTGGCACCTTGCATTTTAAATTGATTGTGCTTTGTAATGTTTAATTGATAATTAGCATCATAGAGTTTTCATAGTGTTTTGATATTAAAATTTCTTTGCATCTCATTTCTCATTCTTCTCTAGATCCGTGGCTCTTTAAAGAGTTGGACCAAGCTGTGGTGTGCCCTTAAGCCTGGAGTTCTTTTGATTTACAAGACGCCCAAAACGGACCACTGGGTGGGCACCATACTCCTCAGTGCATGCAAGCTGATTGAGAGACCCTCCAAGAAGGACGGCTTCTGCTTCAAGCTCTACCACCCACTGGACAAATCCATCTGGGCTGTCAAGGTCAGACATGTTTGTAGGGACAGTAGGATTTTTTGTCAACACAGTAACAAAAGATGATCAAGATGATCTTTATTCTTAAGATTGAAATGAAATGCAGGGTCTTCTTGCACTGTAAAATAAAATCAGAAGCAGTTTGATCTGTGATTACATTTCATTACAGTTAGTTTTTAGTGTATATTGACATCATTTTGGCTGTGCTTTTGTTTTGGAAATAATTACATTTTTAAGTGATAATTACTCTGTTCTGTGCTCCATTATTATGGCCCATGAGAGAACCATTTGTTTCTGTTGGTACAACATGACTAAAATGGCATAAAGCATGAATCATAGCTTCATCCATACACTCAGGGTCCCAAAGGAGAGAATGTTGGCTCCATCACGCAGCCTCTACCCAGCAACTACCTGATCTTCAGAGCTGCCTCAGAGTCTGATGGTGAGGCTTATGTGTCTGCTTGTTTTGGTTAGAAGGGTACACTCTTGCGGGTTTAGTGAGTTATTTTTGCAAGCAAAATTTATTGAAGGCCCTCCTTCCCATCTCTAAAATGTCTCTGTCTCTCCAGGCCGGTGCTGGATGGATGCCCTGGAGCTAGCTCTCAGCTGCTCCAGTCTCTACAAGCTGACAGCCAAAGGAGGGAGAGAAGGAGATATCAGCACATCATCAGAGTCCTCCCATATACTCCACCTGCTGCAGTCTACTGCACTCACTGACACAGAGGTGCTACAGTGAGTGTTACACATCCAAATTGTTGTTATGGGATGATCAGTGTTTGCTGTAATCACACCAAATTGTTGCACTTGCCAATTCACAAACAAGACTGCTGGCATTCCTACCACACACATTTGTGCTGTCTTTTTTATACAGAAGTCCTAAATTTCCAGATGGTAGGTCTAACATATAGTCTGTGCTTCCTGGTGTCAGCTCTGAATAACAGTTGAAGAAACATGGACGTCAAGAGACATTCTTTGTTAAAAGTGAATCCCTGTCCTCTAATACCACAGATAAGGTTAGCTGTGTTAGCTATGTTGTGTGCACCATGTTAGCGCAGTCTTGATATAGATGCTTCCTGGAAAAAAAATGGAGCTCTAAAATTAGCTGCTGGCAGGAAACTCCTCTTTCAGTTTAAAGAAAACAATCTCTGTTTGCTATTGTGCTAGTTAGTTAATAGTCACTCATTAATTACTCATGGTACTGTACATGCTTAGTCTTGGAATTCATAGGTGAAAGGCTGCTTAGTAAAAAAAAAAAAAAAAAAAATACATTACTCCGTACCTGGGGTGGCACGGTGGAGCAGTGGTTAGCACTGGTTCGCACTGTCACCTCACAGTAAGGCGGTTCTGGGTTTGAACCTGTCAGCTAGCCGGGACCTGTGTGTGTGTGCATGTTCTCCTGGGCCCATGTGGTTCCTCCAGCTTCCTCCCAGTCCAAAGACATGTAGGGTAGGTTGGCTGATGATTCTAAATTGCCCTTATATGTGACTGGTTGTCTGTGTGTCAGCCCTGTGATAGAATGGTGACCTGTCCAGGGTGCACCCCACCTCCCGCCCAGTGTCAGCTGGGGCCTGCTCCAGCCCCCTCCCACGACTCTCTACAGTATTAGCGGTATAGATGATGGATGGAAACTTTACCAATCCCTAGTCAGAGGCAGGTACACATCATTAAGGCAATCATAGTGTATGTACTTGAACAAAAGACCAGTAAAGAGTGTTGTCATGTAACTTTCTCCCATGCTGACAGCAACACAGAGACATCATGAAGGAAAAGTAAGCAATCCTACTAAAGAGTTTTTTAATAGAAACTTGAAGTTTTAAAACTTGAGAGGCTAAACGGGGCTGATAAACAGACTCACAAAGTAAATAGAGTACTTACTTAAGTTATCACTTATTGTGCTGAGATTTCTATTGTCTGTAAAAATATAAAAAATACAGCTTTAAATATAGGTTTAGAAATGGTAGCCTAAAAAGTTACACCTGGAAAGTGTATTCCTCTGCAGCTACTTTTAATATGCTATAAATCAGCTAAGTAGATGACAGACAGTTGAGTACTGTGGCTGTAATAAACTCTGAATGTGGAATGTGATGAGGAGAACTGCAGGAAAAATGTAACATCAATGTTTGTGTGCCATTTATTATGTAACAAGAAAGCTACATGCTGTATAAAAGTATCAGTCACACCAAAGTTTTTAATGCAGCCATTACCCCGCCCAGGGTGTCTTAAGTACTTTCTACTTTCTTACAGTGCTTTGCATATGCAAACATTGTATTATTGGTCCTAAATATGAAATGTTTATTCATGTGCTTCAGGTTTTGAGTATCCATCTGCCTTTTTTGCTGTCGTCATATTCAGTATGTACGTCCGACAATAGACATCCCTTTTCTCCCCACTCCCTTCCTCCTCCTGTTAGAGTAGCACCCTCCCTCTGGCAGTCCTTCCCAGCTCTCCCTCCTCTCCTGCCCCTCTCACACCCAATCACAGCCTCCCATACAATCACATGACTGACACAGGAGCAGGAAGATGGAGTAGAATGTGAACTATACACCACCCAGAATGAGATGGCAGCAGCACAGCCGTTGCCGGCCTCCCTCCCGACACACAGGCACACAGCCAGAATTATGCACACACACATTCAGGAAGCAGGTGTGCCTGAGTTGAAGAAACAGCACGGCACCTTTTAGTCACTAGATTACTAACATTTACACACACGGCTGAGAGGAGAGGAGAAAAGGACACGCTGCGGCTACATTTGGATTTATTGCTAATATTACTGGGGTTGTTTGTTCCTGAGAAAGAGTTCCTGTTTGCTGTATGTCTATTAGGTAAGGAAAGCCGCCTCTGTTCCAGGATGTGTTTGGGTTAATAAATAACATTATTGGTTGGTTAGTGATTCATAGAGTGGGCAGGACTGTGATTGTTCAGGTCTGCCGAGCCCTCAGGCAATATGAAAATTGAACTCTTCCATTATTGTTGCAATTGAGCTGTTTTCTTTGACCACACTCTCATAAGTGAGGGTGAATTTGAGAGCCTACACACTACAGTTACCTTGCACTGTCATAGTGTTTGCCTATATTTGTTAGGATTTAAAGTGTGGAATGTTTGTGAAATATCTGACTTAAAACCTTTGGGTACGCATGTGATCAAAACCTGCTTTATTATCTGTCTGCTCATCTGTTCATTTGAAAGTGCACACACAAATGTCCACTGTCTGGGCTTGTCTGGGCTTGATTGGAAGCTATTGATTTCTCATTCCCTTATCCACTCTCACTTCTCCTTTCTTTGGCTGTATAGAAGCTGACAAATTGCTGACAGGTCTGAGGTCTGTTTGATTTGTGCAAGACTAGAAAATCCCCCAGTGTGAAAATGCTAATTCAGCATAGCATCGAGTTTGAATTAGTTGTCCCTTAACGTGTGCATGCTCACACATGCATTACCCTGTTTGTGACCCCTGAGCTTAGTCAGCGACTGGACATGGAGTAGCAAGGATGTGGTTGAATGTCAGAGTTCCCTAATATAGTTCTACCCTTGGTGTTCACTTCTCCTCTGTTACTGTTAGGTTGAATGACACCCTATTGCTGGGCAATCACCACATGGAGCATGACGGTTTTTCAGACAAATCAGAGCGCGAGGCTCATGACGACTGGGACACTGCAGCCAATGAGAACGGTGGAAGGCTGACAGAGGAGAGTGACATGGACCAATCAGATGAGCTCTCCCCTGGGCCGCAGGCCACAGCCTACGTCGAGCAGAGCACAGAGGAGATGGCTGAGGTGATGCTCAATTTTATGTGAGAATGAATAAAAAATAAAAAATAAAACATTATTGTTATTGTTCTTAAAGCCCTATCATATACTCTTTGCTTTTCCACCTTAGTACTTTGGGACATTTTCTTTTTTCGTGTCCGAGTCGTCCCAACTCAGGTCTCTGAGCAAAGAGCCACATATAGTCACATTGACTATAAGGCCTCTATCCCACCCTTGCCTATTGTGCCCTTGCCTTTGTTTACATGTGTTACTTCAGGCTGGAGAGGCGTCCCAGGTGGAGACTGTATCAGATGAGAACAAGGGGCTTATCTGGGGTTTGCTGAAGCAGCTACGGCCGGGCATGGACCTGTCCAAGGTGGTGCTGCCTACCTTCATTCTGGAGCCACGCTCTTTCCTGGATAAGCTGTCTGACTACTACTACCACGCTGATCTGCTCTCACAGTCAGTATTAGCGGAGTCATTACACTATTTGTGTCTAAAAGGGGCTGTGCATTTTAGTATTTTGACAGATGAATGACTTATTATCTGTCCTTTACTTTTCATAATTGTGCCTGCTCCTTCACCACAGAGCTGCACTTGAGGAGAGTGCATACAGCCGGATCAAGCAGGTGCTGAGATGGTACTTGTCTGGCTTCTACAAGAAGCCCAAGGTATGATTTGTTCATGCCCACACAACTTGTCATCATACCAGCTCTATTAGATGATGATCATGATAAGATGAGCCAACCTTTTGCAACACTTGTTTTTGCATAAAGAGAATAAACATTGTGAATAAAACAAGTTAGGCAGCTATACAATATTTAACATCTTTCAACTTAGTTGCATTTGTCAGTTCAATTGATTACTACAGGTAAATGAAAAACTGTACTTTACTATAAGTTGGTGGTCAAATTCCATTTTCTTATCTGAAAAAGAATCGGTGTCAACCAAAGGATTTAGTGTACATCCTTCATGTGATTCCTTCATTTTTCATTTTCAGTCACCTACTCACTCTCTCTTCCAAGGGGTTGTTTTAGAAGCACTGGCAGATTTTCTGACTGTTAACTTTTTAGACACACTTCTGGGTTCACCGTCCTTTAATACTGTATTTCTTGGTCAAATGACAAATGAAATGAAACACAGCTCTGTCACTTTCACTTGTTAGGCATTTATTTCCTCAGTAGCAAGAAAAACAGCCACCCAGCCTAGGGCAGCATATGATGTCTGTAGATTAAACTGGGCTCACTCAGCATTTTGGGGCCAACTATCTCTAACAGACTCTTGAGACGGATGGTCAGCATTTTGGGGCCAACTGTCTCTAACAGACTCTTGAGACGGATGGTGTCTTCACACTAACACTGGAGTTTTAACATCCACAGTATTGTCTCTCTGTAGTGCTATGTATTATTTCTTGCTGCATTATGGAGTCCAGAATAGTTGTCTTCTGTGGTGGTGCTGATTATTTGTGATTCTTTAAATCTCACTGTGGGGGCCACTTTGGTGTTACTAAGTGTTAAGAAACTGTAAGCTTGCCAAACTGTGACAAAAGAACATGAAGAAAGCCATCAAACTATTTCCACATTTGACTTAAGAGAAAAACTGCTTGTGTCAGAAGCAATGCTTACATTGATACTGACACTGATCTTTGCATTGTCCAGGGTCTGAAGAAGCCATACAATCCAATCCTGGGGGAAACATTTCGCTGCTGCTGGCTCCATCCTCAAACTGACAGCTGCACTTTCTACATAGCAGAACAGGTTAAACCAGTTTCATAATTTCAACACGTCAATGCACGGAACATGATTCATCCCATGTGTGAAAGACTTTTCACAGCAAACACACACCTGTAAAATGCAGCAAGTGTAATATTTAATACATGACAAAGGGTATCTGGCACCTCCTTTTCTCACTCTGCTGCTCTCCCTTTCCTCTGCCAGGTGTCCCACCATCCACCCATCTCTGCCTTCTATGTCTGCAATAGGAAGGATGGTTTTTCTATCAGTGGAAGCATCCTGGCCAAGTCCAAGTTTTATGGTACACAGCATACTGCAGTGCTGCATGTAATGTTTGTCATAGCTGCACAGACCAGCGCACAACATGTTCACAGATTTGATCACTGCTTTGATCCTTTTGTCCATGCATGTCGAGATGAATTCCTAGCCTTGGCTATTAGTATAAGCCTTTTAAGGAGGGTCTATAAAAATGTGATGTGCTATTTTATCCTGCTGCTGTAGGTAATTCCCTGTCAGCCATTCTGGATGGCAAAGCCAGGCTGCTGTTCCTGAGCAGGGATGAGGAGTATGTCATAACCATGCCCTATGCTCACTGTAAAGGTAATAGAAGTTTCTGTTATCATTGGCTTTAGCTTCCCATAACATCTAGAATCTCTTGCTACATGATCTTCTAAGATAAAATAATTGTGTACAGATTTTCATTACCATCCTTTGTTTAGGTACTCTGAGGCAGAACAAAAAGTCAGTTTTGGTGATGCCCCTCTTAATGCTGTTAATAACAGTCTTCATTGTCACATGTAAATTACCAAACATTGCTACAATACAGTGAGTAGAGGAGGTTAATAAAAGCTCATCTACCATGGATGCAATGAAATCTGCCTGCTGTGACAAATCATGTGTGGGCTGTAACTTTTGCAGTCATCTGTCACAGCCAATATGTTTGAGCTACTGGAAGTCAAATAGCACCCTCCTCTGCTCTAAACATGAACTCAACATGGCAGGCGGCCAAATTTAGACATGAATGATCAGTGTGATCTTCATCAGCTCAGGTTTCTGTTAATTCTCTGTATTCACATTATGAATGTTGTAAAGTTATCATCTTTATCTCATCTTCCAATCCAGTCAAGAAACGCTCACTGTGAGTGGTTAGATAATAAATAATGTTCCCAGCTGTCTGATCGGATGCTCTGCTGTTATGTCTCGGTCTCCTGTAGGGATCCTGTATGGGACTATGACACTGGAGCTAGGCGGGAAGGTCACCATTGAGTGTGAGAAAACAAAATGTTTCACAGAGCTGGAGTTCAAACTGAAGGTATGTTTCTGAACAAGTTAAAGCTTTGGCTTACACTGTGTCCTTCAGCTTCTTCTCTTGAGTTATTATAATAGCTTGGCTGTCATTATGACAACTGATAACCTTTAAACAAAATAGCGGTTTTGATAGAGGTATTGCACTGTTCACTGCAGCCTTTCCTTGGAGGCTCCTGTTCCGTGAATCAAATCAACGGGAAGATCTTCGTTGGAGAGGAGCTAGTGGCCACAGTCGATGGACACTGGGTGAGAGCTTCTTTTTTTTTCCTCTCTCCCTGCCTCAGCCTCCCTGTGAAATGTGTCTTTCTGCATCCCTGTTTGCTGCACACCCCCTGCTATTTAGTATTCAGCAATGCTTTGCAGTAATTAGTTTCAGAATTGGTAATTAGAGGTTTAGGAGCAGCAGGGAGTTAGAGCAGTTAGGGCTCTCTCACAGCAAGCCACACACACACAGTGAGTGTCAGAGCGAGTAGGGAAGAGCTGATTAGTTCATGCTCTGGAAATTGTTCATTAAGAGTTTTCGAAAATTAGTTTCTAGTCTGACCTCTCTGTGAAGGGGATTTGTCTTGCCTTTGCTGTGTTCAGGACAGCAAGGTGTTCATTCATGAGAAGTGCTCAGGCCAGCAGGAGACGCTGTGGAACCCAAGTCCAGACATTCGCAGCAGCCGTCTTAAGAGACAAGTGGTGCAAATCGACCAGCAGGGAGAGTTTGAGTCTGAAAGGTATGTATGTCAACCACTGTGGTTATTCCTAATTTGGTAGTTAAACACACATGAAAGCAGCATAAGAGTTTTGTCACGACAGACATTTTAATTCAGGCCTAATTAGTGACATTAATGATGGCTTCCATTTCATTGTGCACAGCACCAGGGTTCTATTCCTGACATAGTGCCAGCTAGTGACTCTCATGTATTACAGACACTCGAGTCACAGAGATAATGTTCCATGAACATACAAAATTGAAACTTGCCAACCATTTTAACCCTGTACCATCATCTCCTAATGCTAAATTAAAAATAATCCAGTCCAGGAAACATATGATTTTAATCAGTTTCTCAGTTATGTCCATTTGTCTCATATAAGTAAAGATGGTGACAGGAAATGATGTCACGTCTCTTTGTGTGTGAAAGTCAAGCCAGTTTCACACAAAGCCAGTGTGATGACATCATTTTCTGTTGCCTCAGATATGAGACAAATGGACATAATGTCACATCACATGCAAACAATTACAGAAGTAGTGCAGACTTCAGTAATGCCTATATGTACCACATGACACATTTATCCTATTTCCATCAATACCATGGCAGATTGTGGCAGTATGTGACCAGTGCCATCATGGATCGGGATCAGCTACGGGCCACTCAGGAGAAATTTGTGCTGGAGGAAGCTCAGCGGAGAGAGGCCAAGGACAGAGGAGACAAACCTTGGGTCCCACACCTTTTCCATCAACACCCAATCACCTCTGAGTGGACCTATATACACATGGAGTACGAACACACTCACACCATGCAAATAAACAGATGGCACGCTCTTTTAGCTTAGACTTTTGGTCAGTAGAACAAGGATGGAGATGTAGAGTTAGCAGAGGAAAATCATGAAAATAGTGACAATATGTTCAGATTTAAATTTCACAGCATCTACACTATAATTTTATTATTGTTTGGCAGCAAGCAACCGTGGGACCCGGAGCGCTGTCTGGTTCAGTTTGAGAAGGATGGAGTGATTCAAACACAGGAAAAAAGCCAGAGACAACACAACGGCCTCTCCTACAGCCACAGCTGGGCCAGCCAGCAGAAGGTAAGCCAGACCAGTCACACACTTACAAACTAGAGCTAAAGTGATGCAGCATTGATGGGTGTGCCACTGGCGTTTTTTCAAAATGAGGACTAATCCATTTCCTGTCAAGCCAAATTGCACCTGATATTTAGGTGCTCTAAAATCACAGACAAGTACGATCAGCTCTCTTTCTTGCTTGTTTTTTGCTGCAGTGATGCCCAGACAGCTAAAAATGGAGCTCTCACGCATGCATCAAGTGCTGTTTGCTGTCAGTTTGTCAGCAGTGGCGTTTGAATCACTAACCTCTTCTGCCCTCTTCCCAGGATGAGGTGAATAGGAAGCACCGGAAGGCCAGCAGCCAGCCATCCAGCTGCAGCCAGAACACCGAGAGCAGCAGCACCACACCAGAGCCCACACACGAGTCCTCGGACAATGAAGGTGAGATTCATACACACACACACACACACACACACACACAGCCTTTAATTGCTCCACCTAAATCTCACATTTGCACACCTGTCATGTGCCCAGGGTTTTCAAACCAATGTGCACGGTGCAATAAAGAAGTGAAGGACATCGCCCTGATAGAGGCCTCCATCACATCTATACAGAAGACACAGCAGGACATTCAGAGGTGAGAATAATTCTCACACATACATCTCCAGGCAGAGCAAGGATAGCATGACTTAAGAGGTCAGAGGTGCAAACATCCTTCCTCCTAAGCTGAAAAGAAAACAGTTTCTCACACCGAACCTGTCTTAGTCGTGTTTCACTGTTTTAATGGCTCAGACTCAGCACTAATCCAGGAGCAGAATTAGAAACTCATGTTCTTGTCCCCTATTGGATAAATGCAAAGTAGGATCAGCACATGTGTAACAAAAATATCCTTAATTAGTTAATTTTCTAGAAATTTCTTTTTGTTTGGAAGTGGATTGGTTTTAACAGAGGTTTGGGTTTTATTGTGACAATTTTACACAGTTTGCATTTAATGTTCTTGTTTACATTTGTTTCCTTCTCTCTCCCTGTAGGAACCTGGTGGCTCTGGGTCATCAGCTGGCTCGCCATAGAATGGCAGATGACGGCATGTCGTTAACAGGCCGTCACTGTCTCATCCTCTGTGTTCTGCTCATCTCTCAGCTCCTCATCAACTATGTCTTCACCTGATCCCGCTCCTCGGGGAGGAGTTTCCCTCATGCATTGATCTGGCATTAAAAGCACAGACACTAACAGGGGAAGGAGGGGCCGAGACTTCAGATCAGTGCCAGGAGGGCAACTTTGTCCCTTACCCTCCTAGAGGGGAGAAGCAAGGACCTTGCAGCAATAAACACAGCCATCACCTGTCAGTCATCTGCAGAGAGGAACGGCACCCTCTAGTGTAGCCAGACTGAAACAGCACCGGCACCCACGCACTTTGGACAGGACAGGAAGAGCCAAAAGGATTTTAAATAAAACGTTAAAATGTATGATCAAGATGAAGAATGATTTTACTAAAAGAAATGACAGAAAGGATGTTTGTCCATTCCGTAGTGTCTTTTTTTATATTACCCTGCAATACTGTTTATCTGTGAGTATGTGTGTCCTTTGTACCTACAGTCAGCCCTATGGGCGCAGGCACATCACCACTTGGACCTCTCCTACTCCCATTCCACTCTAGATTTTGGGCCTTATCACTGAAGCCAAAAAGAAGAAGAAACACAACACAAAAATCTTCCAACAGTGCAATTTTGTATCGATGTACACTCAAATACACTCTGTCTTGTCTTTTGATGAAGATTTTACCAAAACAGTATTTATAATCTGAAAGGACAAACAGCACTTGTTTACAAGGACACAGGAAGGAAGGTTAAGAGGAATGCGGCAGGGCAGAGAGCCACACTGTGTGTCTTTGTACTTGTTCCTGTAGCATAGTGTTGCTTTTGGTCTAGACCATGACACTAGTGTGGACAGTTGGTTACATAAAAAAAAACTGTGTGGAGGAAAGGACGGAGGGGATGATGAGTAGAACAACAAGACAGGAATTGGACACTGTGCATCTTGGTCCACAACATGTTCAAGTGACTGAAGATATGAACACCTAGTAATGAATAGTTTTATTTCTTTGAATCTGTTTGTAAATATATGTCTGGTGGTCTGCGTTTCAAACTTAGATTTCAGAATGTATTTATTGGGTGATTAGCCTTGACTTTCCTAATCTAATTCAGTTTGGAGGACGGAGACCAGGGGTAACAATCGCTCTCCCAGGGTTGTGTGGGTTTTCATAGTTGTCATATGTGTGTGTATGTGTCAGTGTGAGGTGGCACGTGTGTGAGAAAGCCATTATGGTTGTGCTAAACAGTGTCACATCTGTGATCCTGGTTTTTATCCATTGAATTTCAGTCTGTTACCAATACTGATCTAGCCAACGGGAGCAAATCAGAGAGCACAAGAAGCAAGTTGACTCTTTGAATACTGTTATTTACACTTTAGTTTTTATCTTTTTCTTTTAATTCTGTTCCTGTTTTCTACTCTACTGCCACACTGTGGGGATTCTACATGCCTGATATTTTTGTTCTATTGAACAAAACAACAGAGAACATGATGATGTCTGATGTTTTCATTCATACCTGTTGCATACTGTAGCACTACAGTAAAACATTTTAACCCTGCCACTGCCTTTGGCCCTCATTAATGCTTTGTTTTAAAAATCTTATCCACCAGTGTCCATAACAATGAGGAATCTTTCTTTCTTGACAGAAGAAAACGTTTTCCTTTGTAGTCAAATATTCTCCACTAGAGGGAGATGTTGACTAATGTCTGCTAACTGGGACCAAAGTATTCGTCAGCAGTGGTGGAGTAGGTAGTCAGAAAATACCACACTTTAAAAATACTCTATTACAAGTCATTCTTGCATCCAAGGACAAGTACAATTGTATGCACATCAAAATACTCTTGAGGTACCAAAAGTAAAAGTACTCATTATGCAGCATGTAATATTTCACATTAATGTGTATTATATTATTGGATTATGATTATTGTGTTCATCACTTTAATGTTGCAGCTGATAAAGGTGGAGCTAATTTTAACTACCTTATGTGCTTTTCATTTGAAGTACTTTACAAACTGCTAGGTACTTGTGAATGTCCCATGAGAATCAATAAAGTCTTATGATTATACCGTATTTTGTTTTGTTGATCTGATTCTGAAAAGTTGTCGGTTAAATGTAGTGAATCAGACAGTATTGCCTCTGAAATTTAGTGAAGTCAAAGTATGAAGTAGCAGAAATGGAAATACTCAAGTACCTCAAAATTGTACAGTCACTTTATACCGCTGTTCATTACGCTGGAAGCGACTTCCCTCTGCATAACCAGACTGCTGCACTCAAACTGGAAATCCTTCCAGTTTTTGGGTACAAATGAAAGAAAATTATGGACAAGACACAGAAAGACTGGTGGCAACATTTTTTGGTACAAGGTACACAAGAACTGTGACGGGTGGTCGGCTGAGACGGTAACTGTGCTGAGCTCCGAGCACAGGCCTCAGAGCTGAACTTGAGCGGGTGAAAATCCTTTGGTGGACGCCACATGGATCAACATCTCTGCCACACACACAGATTTAACCCCCAGTTTGAGCAACTGGATTATGTTTAGGAGCCTCCACACTGTGCAGGAGCCCTGTAGAGTGACTGATCTCCAAGTATTGTTCAGATACAACTCTGGGTCATTCTTACATTTTGAGTGGAGGTAAAAGTACTGTTAATAAAGAGAAAAACACACTAATTTCTTTGAAAGTTACCCAGCTAGTTTGTAGCAAAGAGCAGTGTCAGTTCACACTGGATTGTAGAATGATTAGACTGGTAGCACTGGACTCTCATTCCCATTCACTTTCTAGAGGAAGTCTAGTGTGCTGAGGTGAATACCTGTCATATCCAAGTGTCAGGTCTGTCCAAACAGAGATTACTCTACTAAAGTGGAATGTGTTTGTGATTTAGTGCTTATTGTAACTATTCCGGTTCCTTTGGTGTCGTTCAACTTGAACTTCCCTTCTGTCACTAAACAATGTAATTGGTAGAAAACTGTATCATTATAATGAAGGTTTTAATCATACTCTAGACAATACCACCTGCAGCTGTGTCACACCGTACTGTAAGTTTTGCCACTAAGTCAACATGAAAGCAAATGAATTTGTTGATCCCTTTAGCTTTTCATGTCAATTAAATCTTTGTTGCTTTCTCCTCTTTGATAGTGAGCAAGAGGACAATGACTTGGATCTGGTAGATCAGATCTAAGTGGAGATCTCTAGACAAATTCATATATTTATACCATCTCTTACAGTTTTTGACTAACCATGTTTTGTTTTTTTATCTAAAATTGAACCGGTTGTGGTGCGAACAGAGTAAAGACAAGGGGAGAAGCAAGAGTGGGCAGACTGGTAGAAGGGTTAGGAATCAAGGGGTAATTTCCTCCTCCATGGCTTGTTTGTATTCTCTGGACTTATCTGGATGGGTGGGTGGGTGGGTGGGTGCACACCGGACCATTGTATTGTCTAGCTGCATGTTTGGAGCTGACAGAAGGACAGTTCAAATTATGCCACTGGAAAATGTGTGTGTTTATTTTCCATGTAGTAAGCACTAATCAGAGGAGGTTGTGCGTGACATATTGAGTTTGTAACAGTTTCCCTGCTGCGGTTCACTCTTTGTCTGTGTTGGTGTGTGCAGTGTTGCCAACTTATCACACTTGATAATAAGATTATGTCCTGGTACCTGGGCTCTTTGGGGCAGTATTCAGTGTGATATAAACTGTTCACTTTGTGTTCAAAAGCAGAGACATTATGTTGCCTAATATGAAAGAAAAGCCTATTTAATGGAATTACTCTTATCAGCGTCATATCGCCGCCTCATGTACATCCTGCACTCCATTTAAACAAGTTCCTCTGCCCTTGCCACTATATAACAAGCGGCATGCCCACACGGGAATTTGGAACACAGCCTGATTACGGTGGTGGGAAAGGAAGTGGTTGACATTGATCTGAGACTTTATACAATAATATATTAGATTAATTGGCTGTACCACTATTTAGGATACTGGCTTTCTCAAGTGCTCATTCAGCCCTTAGATAATCTTTTAGGAATACATTTAAATTCTGTTTTGGCATCTGACGTACATGTGGTCTTTTGTCAAGTTATATGGTAGATTAGATAAATTGGAGATCTTTCAAACATAAGTTGCAGTTTGATGCTGTTAGAGATTATCACCACTCCGATTTTGATAAAAAATGTTGTACTTTAGTGTTAGGCCTCTGGGTCATCTCACTCTGCCAAGTTACAAGGGGGACACTTGTGCTTCAAGTAGGCCTGGTGAGGTTAGAGTTTCGCTTTTCATGTGCTTATTAGATTTTCCCAACATGTGGGGAGGTCTCTCACTCCAAAGCATTGTGACACTGACGCGGGGCTATTTTAGGCAGTTTCATATTTACATTGGGTTGTTGTCAGAACTATATTGCTCAGTAGATGCGGTACCAGCTGGGTGTGCGTTTGGGTTCTTGGTGGGGGTGGGGGGTATGGGGGGGCTGGCAGAGACAGATGACTCTCAAAAAAAGTTCTTAAACACCCAGTTTGGGTGTATTTACCTTATTGTCCATGATGAGAACGACAGCGGTGATACTATGAAAGCCTGATTGTCAGTATACAGGTTGATATCATATTGAACATGTATTACCACTAAGTGTAATTCTTTTTTAACATTCTTATATCAAGATTATACTGTGGGCTGAATGTCTTAAGGCTTAACAGGCTTTGTATTGAATTAACTGAGGAAGGAACCGAGCTCTGCCAGGACAATATCTTAGTTACTAAAGTAATAATTGGCCCTTTACAGTATGTTATTTCCTGTGAGCTCGTGGCAACATAAATATGCCTATCCTCTTTTCTAACTCCATATATTTCTCCACATTGTACACTGCAAGTGCTTCCTAACGTAAATCGGAAGTGAGAGAAGAATGAGTAGGGAACAAAACATGGAAGACAGTTGTAGTGGCAAATGAGCACTAGTGACTGCTTTTTGTAAATATTACAGGTTGTGCATTGTTTATCTCACTAAATCAATGCAGAGTGACAACCAGTTAACAATTCTAAACACATAGAGGGTTCCTGTCCTGTTTGGTTGCCAAACCAAACCAGACAGAGACTGAAGTACAGAGAACAGACCTGATGATTCCCCTATAGAACAGTATCAGCAGCTCCTGAGGCAGGTTGAACTTCCTGAGCTGACACAGGAAGTACATCCTCTGCTGCACCTTTTTAATGATGATGTTGATGTTGGTTGTCCACTTCAACTCCCGAGAGATTGTGGGGCCCAGCAACTTGTAGGACTCCACGACTGAAACAGTGCTGCTGAGTATGGTGAGTGGAGATAGGGTGGGGGAGCTCCTCCTAAAACCATTTCCACTGTTTTCAACATGTTCAGCTTCAGGTTGCTACGTCCACACCACAAGGCCAGCTGTTCAACCTCCCGTCTGTGGGATGACTTGCCAGCGTCTTTAATGAAGCCAGACAAGGATCCTTCTGGTTTTGTGAATCAGCTGACATGGGATGCCATTATGATCCTACTCAGAGATATACTGTACGATTGATGTTGATATGTTTGATTTGGTGAGACAGAGCCAGCTGTTGCAGTTCAAGATAAAGGTCCATGTAGCCATGTAACCTTATATAAGGGCGTATAACACTCATTTAATGCATTGTGCCCTTAAATTGGGAATAGTGGAGAGGGACAAAGACGCAGCACACCTCTCACTTCCACTCATCTTTATCTCAGCATCATGTTTTTAAGCAAACCTACATTATCTGTCCTCAATGAACACCCCTAGTTTCATGAACACGGTTCCAATGACTAGATCTTTTTAATAACCTTTCTAAATTGATTGTAGTGTGTTCCACAACACCTTAGACAAGTATTTGAAAGCACTACTCAGGGAGAATGAAGCCACTGTAAGGGAATGTGTCCTTCAAATTTAGTGTGCAGACATGGGAGTGATGTTCATCTAACTCTCTACAGAAAAGAAATTCTAAAAATGTCTAACAATTTCATTAAATTTATGAAAAATATCAAACTGATCAAATTAATATGAGATTAAAATCTGTAATAATACTCAAATATTTTTCTATAATGGGTGTAAGTGTCTATTCAGAGATCAGTTTAAGAAGCCATCCTTTTTTTAGCTTTCATCCCTACACTTTTCAACATCTCTGAGTCATACTTAGACAAAAACAATCCTTTTATTCTCTCTTCATGATCCATGGTCTCCCCACCCTCTCCCCCTGTGTGTTTTCTCCCCAGGTAAGGGAACGAGAGGCCAGCTGCACCGAGGCGTGCCCTGCTTGTTTTGGCTGAAGGGCAGCAGCAGGAGTAAGGTCGGATGTTTGCTCTGTGGGTTGATACTGTGTTGCAGTACAGGCCTGTTCCAAATAGGCTGAACCATGTAAAAAGGTAGGAGGGAGGCAGAGACAGAGAGCTTGTCTGGACTTGCCTTGCAGAGAGCCTAGGAGAGGATGGAGTGGGAGGGAGGATATCTGGCAGTCTGGGGCAGCCTGAGGCCATGTGTCATGTCTATTTCTTTATCTCTGATAATGATGCTGTATGATCTCACATGATGGCAGGTTAACTAAACT